TGAGCAATCGCTCCATTGTTGTCACACAACAACGGGATGGGTGATGTGCTGGACGGAACTACTCCCAATTCGTGAATGAACTTTTTCATCCACACGACTTCCTTTGGCAGCTTCACTTGTGGCAATGTATTCGGCTTCGGTTGTGGAGTCTGTCGTGGACCTCTGTTTGCTGCTTTTCCAACAAACAACACACGATCCTATCATTAAAACCTACCCAGATGTAGACTTTCTATCATCTGGATCCGACTGGAAATCGGCATCAGTATACCCCTAGATCTGTAGTGTGCTACCATCGAATACCAAGCAAAACTCTTTTGTCCTTCGAAGGTACTTAAGTATATTTTTCACAACGGTTCAATGCTCCTGCCCTGGGTTGGCCTGGAATCTGCTTACCACACTCACTGCCTGAGCAATGTCAGGACAAGTGCACAACATAGCATACATAATGCTCCCTACAGCTGGGGCATATGGAACGCCCTTCATGCCCTCAATCTCCTTAGAAGTCTTGGGAGACATCTTCTTGGAGAGAGTGACTCCGTGCTTGAAAGGAACATTTCCCTTCTTGGAGTTCTCCATTCTATATCTCTTGAAAATTTTGTCAATGTAACTAGATTGGGGTAATCCTATTATCCACTTCGATCTATCTCTATAGAGTTGAAGACCCAGTATATAGGAGGCTTCTCCAAGATCTTTCATGGAGAATTGCTGTGAAATGCATACTTTCACCGTAGTCAACATTCCTACGTCATTCCCAATGAGTAGAATGTCATCTACATACAAAACCAAAAATGTAACCTTATCCCCACTAGACTTCCTGTAAACATAGGGCTCATCCGGATTCTGCTCAAGGTCAAACTTTTTGACGGTAGAGTCTAACCGGATGTTCCAACTCCTAGAAGTTTGCTTAAGTTCATATATGGATCTATTTAACTTACATACCATGTGTKCCTGACCCGCAGCTATGAAACCTTGCGGTTGCTGCATATATATATCTTCAGTAAGATCTCCATTCAGGAACGCAGTTTTGACTTCCATTTGCCAAATCTCATAATCATGGTATGCTGCTACAGCTACTAGGATCCGAATGGATTTAAGCATGGCCATGGGCGAAAAGGTTTCCTCATAATCGATGCCCTCTTTCTGAGTGTACCCTTTCGCCACAAGACGAGCTTTGTAGGTCTCAACCTTACCATCGGGGCCCTTCTTACTCTTATAGATCCATTTGCAACCAATTTCTTTTACCCCGGGGGGCGGATCTACAAGAGTCCAGACTCTGTAGGTTTCCATTGAGTTCATCTCAGCTCTCATGGCATCTACCCACTTCAGGGAATCTATGTCCAACATAGCTTCCACATAAGTCACGGGCTCCTCCTCACTAGTCAAGGCTTCCACCAGGTAACTATCCTGGTCATAGCCAAAACGGACTGGTGGCTTGGACACCTGGGTAGATCTTCTAGGTTGGTCAATACCTGGAACCTGTGGGACACCTTCCACTGGTCCTGGATTCCAACTTGTCCGCACTCATTCTTTTAACGTGCGCAGGACAACCCCAAATCTTCAAGTGTCTGACACTTAGTTTCTTTCCGGTCCAAAGTTTGTATGGAGTATTCGGAACCGATTTGGTTGGAACCCGATTCAGCACGTATATTGCAATCTCTAATGCGTAACCCCAAAAGGATGTGGGTAACTTTGAGTGTATGAGAAGTGACCGGGCCATATCCAATAAGGTCCTATTCCTCCTCTCTGAAACACTATTAAGCTATGGTGTAACAGGAGGAGCAAACTGTGATACTATACCGTTGACCTTTAAGTAGCCCTTGAATTTGTCAGAGAGATACTCGCCACCTTGATCCGATCGAAGGGCTTTAATTTCTCTCCCTAACTATTTCTCGACCTCCTGTCTGAACTCTTTGAACTTTTCGAAGGATTCAGACTTATGTCTCATTTGGTACACGTAACCATACCGAGAATAGTCATCGGTAAATGTGATGAAATACACATACTGGTTACGAGTCCTAACACACAGGGGACCACATACATCACTATGTATAAGGTCTAGCAGGCCTGTACATCTTTTAGGCTTACTGTTAAGTGGCCGTTTTGTCATCTTACCCTGAAGGCAAGACTCACAAGTGGGAAAATCTTCTACAGTTAGAAAATCCAAAGGACCATCCTTTACCAGCCTTGTGTTAGACAGTTTTGTATGCCCTTAGCTTCAATCATTTTGATGTACTTTTGTTATTTAGTGGAAATAAATAAAGTGCATGTTTGATTCATGTTGTT